GAATGTTCAGCTAAGAGCAAAGAAGGTGTTCGTGAAGTTTTTGAAACATCAACGAGAGCTGCACTACAAGTAAAGAAAAAGAAGAAAGGCAAATGTGCCTTGTTGTAAGTGATGTCATATTGAAAATTTAAAAATCTACTTAGAAACTAAAATATATCATATTTTTATACAATTTTTCAAATTACCATGTCGTTTTAAGGATTTTCAGCATTTAAAACAAATAAACCTGATTATACAAATCATGGTGCAAGACAAAATGTATCATTTTATTTTTCTATATAATAAACACTATAATTATAATCATGTATTCCTATTGTTTGCCAAATTATGTACAAAGCAAAACTATTGGGGAGAATTTTTATTGGGTATTCACTAATCATAGTGCATTTTGTAACTAATTTTAACTTTATTTTTTATATTATAAAAACTGTTCTGTAAAAATAAAGTTGAAACTACAAAATAATTGAAAAATTTAAACGAGACTCATTTTTCGCTACCTTCAACTTAATACAATATTTCTGTATCGTAAATATATATAAGTATATATATATTTTATGGACCTGTTGTGCCAGGCATCCCATTATGTATTCCTTAGCTTAGTTTTTTTAAATATTATTATTACGTTTGTTCTTTAACCAATATTTATATGCTTGTACTTTTTAAGAAATTTACTAATAAAATTTTAGATTTTTAATTAAATTTATTTTTAATGACCCTAGGTTTTGTTAGGTATCATTTAAAATGCAAGTTTTAATGAATACTTATTAAATATTTCATTATGTTATTGTCTATACCTTTCATATTGTGACTTAATATGATATTAATAGAATTATTCTGTCTATCAATTTGTTGTTAATTCTATAGTTTATCTAGAAATGGGTATATGACAACATTTTTTATACTTCTTATCTAAAACGTAAATATAAAATATAGGGAGTACCTATAATATGTATTTATGTGTGGTAAAAAGTATATCAATATTTTAAATCCATTTGTATAAAAAACTTAAATATTTATTAGTGATTGTTAGTGAAATACTTTTCCTAAGATAATATTTCTTTAGAAAACTTAAATTATTTTTTAATATTGTCATTAACATTTTTATAAAAAAGTTTTAATAAATGTACTTGCCAAAGAAAAGGCTGTAACTACAACCATATAGAAAGCCACACATAAAAATATTACAAGTATAGTAAGTAAAAAAAGTATAATAAGTAAACACTTTATATTTTAAATTATAATACAAAAAAACAATTTAAATACATTTACTCTAATAATTTGCTTAACTGATAATCTATACAAGAGCTATGTAAATATGTAAAGTATATCAAAGACTAAGATTAAATTGTTATTAGGTCAATGGTTGGTGTGACTAATTCCCTCTTTTCATTAATAAAACTTGATTATTTCTTATAATCTAATTAAATATATGAAAAAATAAATACACCATATTTTATTATTTACAAATTAAAAATAGATTCTTTGAATCGTCAAAAAAAAAAAATGCAAGTTCACATACAGGAAATACGTTAGGAGATATTTGGTGTGTGATAACACAAAAAGAAAATAAAATAATTGTAATGATTTATTAAGTTATAATGGAAACTGTAATTCATCAATATTTAATTGAGTAAGGACAGTTATTCAAATTGTTAATACATAATTCACTATTTTTTATCAGCAATACAGTATGTATATTAAAACTGCAATTCCACACTTCAATATATATTTATATAAATATTAACTGTACTAAAAAAAAATTATGCTTTCTGAAATGTACATAATTCAATCCTATCTATACATACTTAAGATTGTATTGTTATTAGACCAAAAAATATAGTTATTTTATAATTTGAAAATTATTCCATTATATTCAAGTTTTATTTATAGATGTGTAAGCTTGTAGAACCTGGTAAGTAATGAATCAATATCAGTTTAAATTTGGGAACAATAATTTGTTTATAATTTTCAAAAAATTTGTCCAGCTGAAATTCTAATCACAAAAAAATGTACTCGATGTAAAATTATTAACACAATTATTAGAAAAATATCAGTCTGACTTTCGAGTAAAATATGAAATTTATATGATCATAGATTTATATTATGAATCTACTGTAAAAATATATATTTTTAAAAAAATTAGATAGTGGTAATTGTTTAACATAAGGCTTTTTATACATCTATCAAATATAACATATTGTGATAATATTGAAGGATATGAGTAAATTCTAGTTTTACATCATAGTATCATAAGTTCATAAAATAAAAATAAATACCTAGTTATTTTCTCGGATAGCGTTAGAGCAATTTATCGCGAATATTGTTATAGATCAAAATACTAATATGAGTGTATAATGTTATATATATTCTTATGCCGGGTTTACACGATGCGTAATACTTGTCATTAGTACTTGTCACTCGCGCTATCACAAATTGTTTACACATTTAAATTTACAGTTTAAGTATCAAGCAAGTAGTAGCGAACCAAACGTCACGATGGACCGTCGCCTTTTTTAAAAAAAATTTTTAAACGTTAAGCCAACGTTTAAATATCGTCATTGATACAAAAACTTGAAAACGAATCAAGAAAAAAAAACGATTATGGACAAGAAAATGGTTGCTGAGTCGGGATACCCTTGGTAATTCAGTTAAGATTTTAAGAAAATTTGCTATTGAACTTGAGTATAGAATTTTCGTGATGATAACACCTGACCAATTTGAATTTATGTTACAAAAATACATATAATATAAATTAACTTTTGGTACACTAAAACCAACAATATTCATAGCTTGTACTGTTTTTTGGTAGGCCGATTCCCGCATTTGTTTATTTTTGTATTCTTTACATTTTACATTCCACTGACATTCGTGAGTTCTAACTTCAAGCACAAACTTAATCGTCGTTTTTGAATTCCATTTTTCAGTCCTATTAAATTATTTATAAATATAAAAAAGTAAGCACAAACGCAAATAGACAAATCAAAAAATCAACAAAATACAGATGTGCACCTACCGATACTTGTCACCAAGCACTAGCATCGTACGGTCACACGTTGCAAGTGCAACTGCGAGTAGAGTAGAGTCGTGGAGGGGATAGCTACTTGTCATTAGTAAATAGAATGGCGTTCTATTTACTCGCACTCCCGGTTTTACGGATACTAAGCACTATTTTTTCTGTTTACACGCAATGTGCGAGTGCGAGTGACAAGTACGCATCATGTAAACCCGGCATTATATATACAATACCGAATCCAGGAAATTTGACGTTCAAGGTTAATAAAAATTAAGCGCTTTTTACGTAGGTGGAAGTAAGTGGCATGTTTCTTACATCTTTTATTTTTCATAAACTTAAGAGCGCCCTTACATCAACAGGACCTAGGGCAAGCATACCCACTTGCCCCCCCCACCTAAACCCGGCATTCATTCAGCGTGAAAATTGAACATATATACATCATAAAAATTTTTTATAAATTTACATAACATAGATATACTTGTTTGAATACAATATAGTACAATTTTATCATAAATTAAAAGAACACAAAGCCATCAACGATATTTTTATAATTATTAGTCAACAATCTTTAAGAAATTTAGTAATTAAAATCTTAGTCAACTCGAGTTTCCTTAAGTACGTTTAGGAAACAAGAGTGTATTAATTAGGTAGAAACAAATATTAAGATAATTTATTTTAAATTAGGTATAAATAATCTTTGCAATTCGCAATTAAGCAATAACGAAATTAAATATGGAGAACAGTGACGTATATTCAATTTTTTTGTGGGAGTTTTACATTTTTCTAAAAAATAAATTATCTTAAAATATTATAAAAAATACATATAAGGTATGAATTAATAAGTATATTATTCTTTTACTTTTTTAATGCAAATTAAGAGCTATTTACAATTACATTATATAAATTAATGTTCTCTTTTTCTATACTTTCGTAGCAAGTTATTGCATTTTTTTTTCATCTGGAGAGGGTTGAGACCAGGGACCCCCAGAAAATACGCTACTGATGGAGAGTATAAGTTTAACATTCTTTGAATCTTTATTAATCTCGACGCCAAATTGTGAAATATACTTATACATTAATTGTATTATATTAAAATAATTTAACTATTTAACAAAATAATTATTGTAGGTCGTACGAAGCAATTTATTTGTCTAACGAGATCGAATTATCTATATCATTTAAGCTCATAGTTTGTGTTAGAGACAGTGCTTGATTTGGGGGTCTTGCTTATGGACAGTATACCCCTACTAATTTTCAGAAATTTTAGCATACCCCTATTATTATTACGTTATAATTATAACACTTAACAAGTCTTGGGGGCGCTATTTTCTTTAAAGTAAACAGGGTCCCCCTTTTTTTAATTTTGCCAAGTCGAGTACTGGTTAGAGATAGGTAAAGAGTAATACATTAATAATTAATAATTATTTGTTATATTTTAAAAGACATTATATATAAAATAAACAGATGTTGATTTCGTTATAGGCAGCTGCCTAGAACGGTAACATTTTGAAGGTGGCAAATTTTAATTTAAATACATAATTTGTAAAAAAAAAATTAGAAAATTCGTTCTTTTATATTTACGAAAAACGATGTAATATTTACTTAATTTCCAAACAATGATTTTAATAATGGTAGTTCATAAAAATCATTATATGTTTTCATTAAATTTTGGTAGACATTCATTGACATTTTTCAGAAGCAGACCAAATAATTAAAAGTGTGAAAAATATTGTCTAAAAATTAAAATGGTAATGGTACAATATTTCATAATTGGGACGGCAAATTCTTAGTGCCTATAAGGCCAAGCGCCCACTAAAATAACGTGACGTATAGCGCGGCAAGTGATATAGCAAACACGTAACAACAAAATGACGAATGGTGTGACACAACGCCTACCTATGCAGTGACGTAGCCAGGATTTTTAAATGGGGGGGGGGGCTAATCACTTTTTTTGGATAAGTAAGGTAAGAGAGGATATGAGAATTCACCCTTAACCCCCCCCCCATCTACCTCCAAGTTTCTAAACGTAATTCAAGCATTTTAGTATAGTTTTAAAAATATTTATTAATATATAATTTATAATAATAATAATAATTTTGGTTTCAGTGTTCAGTCACTTGCTCCACTCTGACAGCTGCATTCTCTCAGGCGAATTTCTGGTAAATTCAGTTATTATTTTACTTTCATCGAATTGCTCTTTTTTATTTATATTAGCCATAGCTAACCCATTCAGTCTGTTTTCCGACATGGTGCTTCTTAAAAAAGTTTTCAAGCGATTAAGTGCTGAAAACGTTCTTTCCGGAGTGAAAGAGGTAACTGGTAACATGGCGAATAATTGTAAAAGTATTTTAATGTTAGGTCGAAGATTGGTGCGATGAGAGAGTGAATCAAGAGCAGAATTCGGTTTTGGAATAGTATTTTGACTCCATTGTTGCCTCCATATGAACAGGTCAGCTCTGATTGTAGATGAGGTATCATCATGGAGATCTTGGACATATATTTTAGCAGCTTTTATAATATTTTTATCGTCATACATATTTAAATTGGCCGGAATAATTCCTTCAAGTGGCATAACATCAATAAGCCTTTGATTAAAACGAGCATCCATTGATTCTATTAAATAGTCAAGATACATTATACATATAAACACGGCCCATGGGGGGCTATAGCCCCCTTAGCCCCCTCTTGGCTACGCCACTGTACCTATGTATCTAGAAACTAGTAACACCAGTTGTCAATATGTCTTCTTCTTTATCGGATTACGAAAGTTTTTTGGCTTTAGTAAATTTAATCAATGTTAATAACGCAAATAATAAAAAAAGACAGTATTGGGTTCATCCATACTGGAAAAAAAATCAAAAAATTAATCGTTGTGTTTTTGATGTATTTAAAGAATTCATACCTATCCAGAGCGATTCCAATCATTTTATAGAATGAATATAATATAAATACATTTAGTTTATTATTTCAAAAAATAGGACTATCGATTAGAAAGCAAGATACTAATCTTAGAGACTCAGTTTCACCAGAAAAGCTCTTTTAATCACTTTGAGGTAAGTTGCACAAGGCAAAAAATGGAACACGCTGCATTTGAATGACACCGAAGTAACATGTAGTTTATCATATGACTGTCGTATCACTTTAGTTGGCGTTAAATCTATTAATTACATTGTTTTGATACAAAATAACGTGCTAGATGCATGCTACTTGCTACGTCACTTGCCGCGCTACACGTCACGTTATTTTGGTGGGCGCTTGGTCTAACAGTAAAAAAAATGAATTCCATTTCTGAAAATATATATAATATTTAAAAACAAAAATGTCCAAGCTATTTATATAAATAATATTAATAACTTTTTGTATCTAAAATTATCTATTGAGATTTTAAATCAACTTCATGAAAATTATATAAATGTCAGCCCTCAATTGGTTGATAAGATAGATCAAACTTCGACAAAATGTATTTAAATGTTTTATGTATATTGTGCGATGATACAAAAGATATGTAAAGATATGTAAAGATATGTTTATTTATTTTTGAGGGAAAAGGGGAGGGATTAACTTTCTTCAAAATTATTGAGGCTTAAATAATCTACAAACAGAGTCGGCCTTATCTTTTGCGAGACTGGGCAAAACTTATTTTACCAATAAGGTAATTAAAGGCGATAATATGTAATCAGACTATTTGAACAAAATTAGATAATAAATGTGTAGATTAGTGGCATGCTTGGTGAATTATAATGAGAACCATTTTTTTTCATAATTGCATTATTGAATTTATAAAATTAGTAAAAATATATACTTTTTTTTTTCTTTATTGTGTTAAAACAATGAAGAATATGTAAAAAATTGGAAGGAAAAATAATAAGTATTGGGTTTACCGCGAACATTTTTTAAATATAATTATACTCCCTGTAATATATTTGAGGTTATGTTTGCTTACTCTACATAAAAAAAAAAATAGGTAAACATTGATATCTGATAATTTCTGTTTATTTTTTATTTTTACTTCGATATTAAATTAAACAATCAAATTGTATTTAATTTATAAAAAAAGAAAAAAAAGAAATAATCTACACCTGTTGGACACCAAATTTTAATACATTTACCGTAAGTTTAAATTATCTTTAATTACATTTCACACGTTTTATTAGTTTTTTCTTATTAATTTATAATCTATAGGTATATCGAGAGCTTGCGTGTGTGTGTATGTGTGTGTGTGTTGTGTATTTATATGTGCATGTCTATGTAGTAGTAATTGTAATGTCTCATTTAAAATTTTAGACTATGGCTGCCATTAGGAAAAAACTTGTCATCGTCGGCGACGGTGCCTGCGGAAAAACTTGTCTATT